CGGTTTGGTTTCACGAACTTCAGGGAGAGGCAGGGGTCACAGGTGAAGTCACACATCAATACATGGAAGCTGGACGTTGGTTTGGCACAAAAAGGTGGGACATCTCGAAGTGGGGGCTTACAGGTCATGGGTGGGTTTAGGGACTCTTCGGTTGACAACTGGCTGAAAGCGTTAGGCTTTGTCTAAAAGACCCACAGTTGGCAGGAAGAAACTAAGAGGACCTTTCACGTGATGCTACACTGGAATCAGGCTGGGAAGTAAACCCCGTTATACTGGGTCAACAAAACCTGTTTCGTGGGATGTTATCATTTGTATATGGGACTTTCCAGGCCCCCCCTTGGGAAGGAATTTGGGCAACAGAAAAAGATCAGCGTTTAATCCTCAGGTTTGATAGTTTTCAGGGAGACAGGATCTGCAGGTAAAACCATAAATCAGTACATACAGGGTATACAGGTGGCTCGGCCTGGAAAATCGGAACATGTCCAGGTAGGGGATTGCAAGTCATTGGTGGGTTCTGAAGTTGGCAGTTGGTTAAGAGAGCTAGGCTTGGTCTAAAAATTTGGGGTGAGTAGGGAATGAATGCCCAAGTTAAGGTAAGGTTGTTTTGTTTTAATCTGCCATGTGATAAAAAAAAATGAAATAAACAGAGACAAGACCTGTTATTCTAGATTCTGTGGATTGTAAGGCTTGGTTCAACCCTTGCCTGGTAAGGCCTTAAGGTAGGGCCTGTCTTAGGGTCTCTGTTTTAACACAGATGCAGGCCAGTTGCTGTGTCTAAACCCCAAAAGGGAAGGGGCTTATAAGGACTGGCCTATCTTCACTCCATGGCTTAGATCTCAGTTTTAAGGCTTGTCTTGGTCTCCTTGGTCAAGGCAGGGTCTGTTCAGTCAGTGCCAGGCTTAGGGTTTTATTTTTATTCTGCAAGAGACACAGTTTTCAAGATGTGGATACAAGCTGTCAAGTTGCCCATCAGAAAGATATTTGCATTTGTTCTGCAGGTGCCCACACTTCTCTGGGACGTCTGGACAATTTCTCCCAGGTTCTTCAGCCAAGAAGAATGATGATTTTTCTTATCTAGAAAATACAGTGGCTCATGCCTGTAATCCTAGCACTCTGGGAGGCTGAGGTGGGAGGATCACTCAAGGTCAGGAGTTCGAAACCAGTCTGAGCAAGAGCGAGACCCCCGTCTCTACTATAAATGGAAAGAAATTAATTGGCCAACTAATATATACAGAGAAAAAATGAGCCGGGCATGGTGGCGCATGCCTGTAGTCCCAGCTACTCGGGAGGCTGAGGCAGGAGGATTGCTTGAGCCCAGGAGTTGGAGGTTGCTGTGAGCCAGGCTGACGCCATGGCACTCACTCTAGCCTGGACAACAAAGTGAGACTCTGTTTCAAAAAAAAAAAAAACAAGAAAAAAGAAAATACAGTGCACAGTAGAAATTGTACAGGGGTAGGGGAGAAGGTTTCCAAACCAAAACCAGTATCTATTCCTCAATGATGTTACAGAGTAACCAAAAGTCACCCTACACAGGGAAAATGGAAAATTGTAGCTAAAGGTATCTTTGTTTACAAAATAATCGTTACAAAATGTTACAGATTCTTTCCTTTGTATGGAGACTTTTGGAATAGATACCCTGTATTTATATCTATACTGTTTTCTATGTTTGAAGTATTTCTCTTTCGCTTTGATCATTTTTTTTTCCTCTTGTGTGCTTTCTTTGGGCAAACGTTCTCAGTTCCCTTCTCTAAATAATTAGGCAAAGGTTTGGGTGTTTGGTTCAGGTGTTTCAGTTTTCTGTGCTTATTTAGTAAGAGCCTTTGTTGATGAGAGGCCTTCAATTTTCACGGATGGCTTTCCTGGAAGTAATGGCATGACCGTGTGGTTTCTTCCTTTTCATCTTTGAACGTCTTAAACTTTTTTTTTCGGTTTCATGATCTTATCTTTGTCTATTTCACATAAATAACATGCTGATATTTGAAAATAGCTGAGGTGGCTTATATTAAGATACATATGCAATATGGTTAAGACAGAAAAAATAGTCCTCTGCAGCAAGAACGTAAACAGTCACTTTGAACGTTATTGTTATGAAAATTGGAAATTCCATCGACCAGTCTGGGCATCTTCACAACCAAGGCAAAAAGGGGAAGATTATTGCTGAAATACTTCTCCTTGTCTTATTAAAAGATCCAATGACACTCTACAAAAAAGGCACCCGCACTCGAATGTTTATAGCAGCACAATTCACAATTGCAAGGCTGTGGAAACAGCCCAAGTGCCCATCCATCCAAGAATGGATTAATAAAATGTGGTCTATGTATACCATGGAGCACTGTTCAGCTCTAAGAAACAACGGTGATATAGCACATCTTATATTTTCCTGGTTAGAGCTGGAACCCATACTGCTAAGTGAAGTATTCCAAGAATGGAAAAATAAGCACCACATATACTCACCAGCAAACTGGTATTAACTGACAGCACCTAAGTGGACACATAGGAACTACAGTAATAGGGGATTGGGCAGGGGGGAGGGGGGAGGGGGCGGGTATATACATACATAGTGAGTGAGATGTGAACCATCTGGGGGATGGTCATGCTGGAAACTCAGACTTGTGGGGGGAGGTGGGAAAGGGCATTTATTGAAACCTTAAAATCTGTACCCCCATAATATGCCGAAATAAAAAATAAAAAAAGAAAAAGAAAAAAAATATAAAAAAGAAAAACGAGGCTAACCCTGTCTCCAACAGAGTACCCCTAGCATTAAATTCTAAAAGGAATGTATTGGTGTTTGTAGGTCTTCGAGAGATAGTACATAACTCCAACAGACAGTGGCTCTTTAAAACGTGTTTCTAAGACGTAAATATCAAAGTTGTCGGCGGGACGTATTTACAGGGGCAAAACTCCCGAGGTCGGGCCACCTGTGCTTCCTGTGGTTCAGTTTGCTAGAAAGAGGCATGTTCAGGCTTGCTGCTGAATCGATTTTATCACGGTCTCCTGTCATCCTGAGTCGCTCCTGCAAGACTGCCCGGAACAACGTGCAGAGAATTTAACGCGTGTTTCCTACAGCACCGAGCTTGCAGGGGACGTGACGAAAATTCTCGATAACTGGGGGAATATTGCCAGATCGGTTTGCATGGATGTCTTTTAAGATTCGAGCTTCATCTAGACAACAGGACAGAGAAGAGACCATGCCGTAAAGCGTGGACAGATCAGGGAAGCATGAAACCCAAGCACTTGTGTATTTTCACTGAAATGTGTTAAAACTCTTAATGGGGCGTGGACTTTTTTAAATATTATGAGAAACCCTCTCCGAGTTTGCAAGAGTAAGGGGTAAAACAGCATACTGGGCACACGAAACCTCCAGCAAGCTGTCAGGGCGACATCAGTATCAGATAAAATTAAGGAGAGAATTGCTGCTCGGTTGCATAGCATGACCAGCTAAGGACAAAAGGTACACTTTGCCACAGGCGTGTTCCCTGTGTTTAGTGTGTGCATTCCCGATAAAATCGTCTCGAGACAGCTGAAACGAGAATCTGCAGCAACTAGCTGGTGTAACCCGGACACCACAGCGAGAGATTTCGACCTGTCTTTCCTAAGTGTTGGAAATTCAGAGGAGAGAGAGAAAAATACAGCCACATGTAGGGGATCTAACAGCTCATTTGACAATGAATCAGGCAACTTTAGCTGCCTGCATCCCACAGTGGGAAAATATGCATTTTTTCCTTTCTTTCTTTCTTTCTTTCTTTCTTTCTTTCTTTCTTTCTTTCTTTCTTTTCTTCTCTTTCTTCTTTCTTTTCTTTCTCTTTTCTTTCTTTCTTTCTTTCTTTCTTTCTTTCTTTTCTTTCTTTTTTTTCTCTCCTTCCTTTCTTCCTTTCCTTCCTTCTCTTCCTTCCTCCTTCTCTTCTTCCTTCCTTCCTTCCTTCCCTTCTGCTTTTTTTCTTTCTTTCTTTCCTTCCTTCCTTTCTTTTCTCTTTCTTTTCTTTTCTTTTCTTTTCTTTTCTTTTCTTTTTTTCTTTTCTTTCTTTTCTTTTCTTTTCTTTTCTTTTTCTCTTTTCTTTGCAAACAGATTGACCCTGCAGGAGTCGAGGAAAAAATTTCCCCTTGGCCCTCTCAAGGTTCAGTGAAAATCACTGACGGAAAGCAAATTAATAAGAGAGAAGACACACACGTTTACTTAACGTGTGGACGCAGGAAGCTTCAGAATACAGACCCAAAGATGCAGGGTAAACCGTCCATGTTTATGCTCAGGTTCAACGCGGCGTCGGCGGCCGTGTAGAAATACGATGGGACAGGAGGGCGTGATCTGACACTGGCGGACTGAGTGGGGAACCCAGCAGGGCCCGTCCGTCCAGACTCTTCTTGGCCTCTCTGAGCGGCCTCCTTCCTGCTGGGTGTGGGGCGGGACCCTCTCTGGAGTGGGGGTGTCGTGACCCACAGCCGGACAATGTCATCAGGGAATTTCCCTATGGCCAGATTCACACAGAAACGTGGAGGGAGAGTTGGGGACATTGTTTTAGCGTTTACAGCTGGCTTTGGGGAAAAGGGGGCTCTGGAATCTTGGACCAGCCTTGGGGAAGAGGGATTCTAGTTTCCATGGCTACCTGGGGGCAGGCTGGGACAGAGACAGGAGGGCGGGAGGAGTTCGGAGAGAGACACTTCTGCGTCTGAAAGCTTCATGTTGGGGTGCCGTTTTCCGAGCCCCAACACAATACATCGTGGTCGTGGCTCAGCCGTAAGAAAAGCCTCAACAGATTTCAAAGAATGAACAAAGACCATGCAAGATCTCTGACGTGCACTCAATTAAGTCACACACTTGTAATCGGAAGACGAGCTAGAAAAGTCCCCGTGCCCTGGGAAGCAGACCGCAAGCTCAGCCCTTGCAGAAGGGGTTGTAGACGGGCGTGGCTGGGTGCACGGACACGGTTGGGGTGCATGCAGCTTCTGGGGGGAGGGGGTGGATGCAACCGGACTCTCACCGTGTCTCCCGTCCCGCCCTGCAGAACGTGCTACTCGCCCCACAGCGCCTACGCGCAGAGCAAGTTGGCCCTGGTGCTCTTCTCCTACCACCTGCAGCGGCTGCTGGCCGCCGAGGGCAGCCACGTGACCGCCAACGTGGCGGACCCCGGCGTGGTGGACACGGAGCTCTACAGGCATGTCTTCTGGGGCACGCGCCTGGTTCAGAAGGTGTTCGCCTGGCTGCTCTTCAAGGTAAGCTGCTGGGGCAGTGGGTTTGTCGTGTCTGCCTCTGAGGTCCGGATGTCTACACCTGCAGGGCAATCGCACGGCGCAATTCACTTCTCTGGAGGTGGGTTCCCGCCCCAGCGTCCCGGTTGTCTGCAGACTCCAGGCATGTCCTTGCAGGGTTGCAGCAGGACCATCCAACGTGTCCTCCTAGGGGCCTGAGACCCTTGCGTGACGCTATCGTGGGGCCAAGGGAGAAATTTGCCCCTTTGTCCTGGGAAGAGCTCACAAGACGGAGATGAATAAGAGAAAGTGCACGTACAGGTGCATTAGCATAATCACATGTGCTTGGGGGAGAACCGCAGAGCTTCTCCGTGAGGGGTGCGGTCACCTATCTACGCTGCTTCTTCACAGGGGACTTGGCGACGGGGGTGTATGCGTGGTTTCGGGAGGGCCGAGAGTGATCTCTCGGGGAATCCAGAGCGCTTGAAGAATATGTCCCAACTGGGCCGGTCTGCTGGGCTCAAAGAGCGGACGGTGCTTGGTGCCGAAGTCTGCCCGAGTGTGTTGAGGACTTCGGTCTTCCTTCTTGCCATGTGAGTTCAGTTAATGAAGGCTTAGGGAAGGGACCCGGTGGGGAGGGGTGTCACTCTTCTCTTCATCTGGGGGGGTGTCCGGATTCCAGGCAGATTAGCAGACAGCTTTGGGTGTAGGGGGGGAGGGGACAGAGAACTGAGAGGCAGGAGAGAAGAAGGTCAGACACACCTCGTGCGTGGCAGCTGCTTCTTGTTACAGAAATGTCCAAGCGCCACATATCTGGGATATCAGCCTCTAAGCCCCAAGAGCCGAACGTCCGTCCCACATTCTCGGAGTGATCTTTGCCGTCAGGGTGCGTTACCTTGTGGCGTCTGCAAGATTCCATTTTCTAGCTATGTCCTAATAGGGCTCCTGTCACGTCTGTCACCCGGCAGCTGTAGGTTTTCTTTCCTCGCCTTGGTCTTTGTCAAGATGGAATGCTAACGGTCTCGTGATTTGTTTACAGAAAAAAAAAAAAACAAACAAACAAAAACAAAAAAGAGCATTGAGAGAGATGTTTCTACTTTCCCCGTCTTACTGCAGGATAATAGTCTAATTATGATGAGACGTGCATGCTTTTGAAGAACCGCAGTGGTTCCCCCTCTGCGTTTGGGGGTTTTCGGAAGAATGATTTCCAGCTCAGCTTCCGGAGTTGTTTTTAAGGCTGGTTGCTTTGCGGAGGTTTTCTGTCTCTTCCTGGGTCAGTTTTGACAGCTTTCCCCCTCAGATTCACGGTCTGTTTCATCGAGTTTTAGAATCAATAATCGTGGTTATGAATTCTCTCTCTCACTCTTTTTTTTTTTTTTTTTCATTGCTGGTCTTTCTGGCGTTGTTCTTGATTTCGTCAGAAAATCTCTAGTGAAATCAGGGGCTCACCCACCCACCCCCAAGCCCAGCTCCTTTTTAGGGATTAATTAGCTCCCCTATTGTTCAGTTTGTTTTCCTATCAAACCGTGCTGTGATTTTCTAATTCCGTAAGCAAAGGAATTTCAAAATGCTTTTTTCCCCCAAATGTTTAAGCTCTTTCACAGCAAAACATCAACACTTGGGAATATTAAATCCGTATTTCCCCATAAACCTCTATAAATTGACTTCAGCCTCCAAAGGGGAGCATTTACTGGGTTTTCTTTTTTCCTTCTCTTTAATATTCAACAATCAAGACGGAACTTTAGCCACATGAATCACTTTTAATCCTTTGATCATCCTCTGCAAATTTGGGTTAAAAATAACCACAGGGCATTGTTTGAGTCATGGCACCTTCATACACAAGACAAAGAACATCGTGCAGACTTTAAACTTAAGGTAGCGGAAGAGTTTGCATTAGCATGGAAGAGAAGTGAATCATGTGGTAGATATAATTATTTTGGGCTCTGTCCTTGACAAGGCTCTCAGCTTCAAGGAGACAGGGACTCGGCTTGTCCTGCTCATTCTGTGCCCTTACATACCAGGGTCCGGGATGGAGCAGGACCTCCCTACTCATTGCTTAAAGGAATGAGTAAGTTTCATGTGAGTGAGAGGAACTGGGCCAGTGCAGATGCCGCCTTCTACTTAGGGAAATAGAGAAAGGTCCCATGGGTTCTTTTTGTCATCAGAACCCAAGAATAATGTCCCCAAAGATGCCCGCCTCCTAATCCCATGTGGTAGATACAATAATGTCCCCAGAGATGTCCATGTCCTAATCCCATGTGGGAGACAGAATAATGTCCCCAGAGATGTCCACGTCCTAATCCCATGTGGGAGACAGAATAATGTCCCCAGAGATGTCCATGTCCTAATCCCATGTGGGAGACAGAATAATGTCCCCAGAGATGTCCATGTCCTAATCCCATGTGGTAGACAGAATAACGTCCCCAGAGATGTCCACGTCCTAATTCCATGTGGTAGACAGCATAACGTCCCCAGAGATGTCCACATCCTAATCCCATGTGGTAGACAGAATAACATCCCCAGAGATGTCCACATCCTAATCCCATGTGGCAGACAGCATAACGTCCCCAGAGATGTCCACGTCCTCATCCCATGTGGTAGACAGAATCATGTCCCCAGAGATGTCCACATCCTAATCCCATGGGGTGTACAAAATGATGTCCCCAGAGATGTCCACGTCCTAATCCCATGTGGTAGACAGAATAACGTCCCCAGAGATGTGCACATCCTAATCCCACGTGGCAGACAGAATAACGTCCCCAGAGATGTCCCTGTCCTAATCCCACGTGGCAGACAGAATAACGTCCCCAGAGATGTCCACGTCCTAATTCCATGTGGTAGACAGCATAACGTCCCCAGAGATGTCCACATCCTAATCCCACGTGGCAGACAGAATAACGTCCCCAGAGATGTCCACGTCCTAATTCCATGTGGTAGACAGCATAACGTCCCCAGAGATGTCCACGTCCTAATCCCACGTGGCAGACAGAATAACGTCCCCAGAGATGTCCATGTCCTAATCCCATGTGGTAGACAGAATAACGTCCCCAGAGATGTCCACGTCCTAATCCCATGTGGTAGACAGAATAATGTCCCCAGAGATGTCCATGTCCTAATCCCATGTGGTAGACAGAATAATGTCCCCAGAGATGTCCATGTCCTAATCCCATGTGGTAGACAGAATAACGTCCCCAGAGATGTCCATGTCCTAATCCCATGTGGTAGACAGAATAATGTCCCCAGAAATGTCCACATCCTAATCCCATGTGGTAGACAGAATAACGTCCCCAGAGATGTCCACGTCCTAATCCCATGTGGTAGACAGAATAACGTCCCCAGAGATGTCCATGTCCTAATCCCATGTGGTAGACAGAATAACGTCCTCAGAGATGTCCCTGTGCTAATCCCACGTGGCAGACAGAATAATATCTCACCAAAGTATCCTCGCCCTAATCCCTGGCACCTGTGAATCCGTCACCTTACATGGCTAAAGAGACTTTACAGGTCTGATTACGTTCAGGATTTGAGATGAAGAATCAGCCTAAATTACCCACACGGGCCCAGTGCCATCACAGGGTGCTTATACGTGGCAGGGGGAGTGTCAGAGCCGGAGCAGGTGTGAGCATGGGAGCAGAGCTGACGTCACTCCTGGCTTTGGAGGTGTTGGAAGATGCAGTGCGGGAAGAAGGGCCAGGAACACCCTCTAAAAGCTGGAGAGGGGTTTCCCCTGCACCCTCCAGAGGGAGCCAGCCCTGCCGACATTGCGATTT